CTAGCCTAACTATATCCCTAGTAAAAGGCTATAATAGGCGCCTATAAGGCTAGCCTTACTAAGGTAAAGTTAATATAATAATCTAGGCCTTATTTAAGCTTAAAGTAGCCTTATATTATTAACTAAATAAGCTAGATAAACTATAGTTTATATAATTATAGATACTAACTATTAACTTACCTCTAATTCTTACCTTTATAGATATATATATATAAGTAATTATACTTTTACTATTACCCTTAATACTACTTCTAGATTAAGCCTTATAAGTAGATATTAGGCTATAAAGTATTTTCTAGATATCCTTATAATAAAAATAATAGAACCCTTACTTTTATTTAGTATTAGTAAGAGGGGTCCTTAAGTTATAGAGATAGTGTCTATTCTAGTTAATTTTTATTATTTAGATAGATCTATAGTATTTTATATAGCCTTTTATAGTATTATTAAGGATTTATCTTATAATCTTATTCTTAATATAAGATTTCTTTACTATTATTAACTTTATATTAAGTAAGGAAAAAGTAATAAACTAGACTTACTACTACTATCTAATAAGTATACTATAATACTTACCTTAACCCTTAATAGTAATTATATAAAAGTTTATTATATTAAGGTAACTAGGGTATATATAATTCCCCTTAGTTATAGTTTTAATATTCCTATATAATATATATACATAGCTATTTAGATATATAGTTATATATTAATATTAAAACCTATTAGTTAGAGCTATACCTTACTTTTTTATATCTTAGTTACTAGATAAGAAGCTACTCTCCTATTTATTAACCTTAGCTTTTATCTTATTTATATTTTTTATAGTTAGGATCTTAAAACTATTAGCTTAATCTATATTATATAAAAAATAAAAGTATTTTATACTATAGTATTAGTAGTTATTATATTAAATAACCTATTAGGACTAGACTATCTTAAAGATATACCTAAGGACCTTAAATATCTAGATAGTTTTCCCTTTTATATCTAGTTATTAGAGGATATAGACATATTTAATTTAAGTATTATAGATATAGTTATTTATTAGGGTAAGGAATATATAACTAAACTAAAGGATCTTATTAGGTATTATTAGGAACTATTTAACTTTAAAATTAATAAGTTTAATAATAAAATAACTATATTTATTACCTTCTAGGAAGGTATAGATATTTCTAATTTAGCCTAGCGTCTATATACCTTATTAAGGTATAACTATATTATAATAGATAATATTTTAGATCCTTTATATAAAGCTAGTATTATTAAAGATATTCTACTAAGAGAACCTTACCTAGTCTTCTCCTTAGCTTTTATTATATAGTAAGGAGGTAAGCCTTATATTATAGTTAACTTATATTATATTAATACTAAGCTAAGATTAGATATATACCCCTTACTATAATAAGATAATATTCTATCTTCCTTATAAGGTAGTATTATATTCTCTATCTTAGACTTAGTAAAAGGTTTTTTCTAATAGCCTATTAAACTATTAGATAAATAAAAAATGTCTTTTACTATACCTTATTATAAATAGGAAAGACTTATAGTTAATATTATAGGTTTAGCTATAAGTCTAGGTTTTTTTTAATACTATATAAAAAATCTATTCTATCTTTACTTATAGTAATTTATTCTAATATATATTAATAATATAATTATTTATTTATATATAATTAATAACTATATCTACTATTTAGACCTCTATTTTATAATCTTATACTATTTAGGTTATATATTATTACTTAC